CCCGCTTCAAACGTGAGTACTCACGTACGGTACTACCGATGTTAACGTTGCCCGGCTGGATTAGTATCGTCTGCCAGCACAAAATCAACACTCCACGAACCGGCCGCAGTTAACCCCGAGCTGGGGCCGAGGAGGTTGTTGGGTGTGCAGCGTACATCACTCTCGACGGCGTCATGCCCGGCCCGTGACGTTTTCTTAGGCTAGGCGCACTAAAACGGACTTTGTGGCATTCCACCTCGACCGATTGATGGTCACAGACCGTGACTCGCTGGATCACGATAGGACACCTTGCCAACAACGCTGCTAGAGAAGAACCTGCAGGCAGCCATAGGATTAGGAAATGAAATCCACCGTCAGGACGACTCGGGCGTGAAGTGGGCAGGTCGTGCGCAGCGCGCGGCCGCACATGCCATGTTTCGCTCTTTGTTTACACGCATCCACCGCAGGGTGGGGTTTTTTATCTGGAACCCAACAGGTGTCGTTTCCGTTGGCAGATGAATCTTTCTTCAGACCTTTTATTTTTTGAGCGAATATCTTTACTTGAGACTGCTCGTGCCCTCCAGCTCCAGGGTCGGTTTTATTTGTTGTTTGTTATTTCTTCCATACAATATGGTGCAGTGGTCCTGCGCTTCCATGGCCCCCGGCTACTAGATAGACGCTCTTGTCTTGCCTAGCCTAGGCTTAAATATATTCCGTCCATCAAATTTAAGAATCGCATCTCATACGACTGTCCACGCAACATGCACGTGCCCTCCCTCAAAAGAAACAAGGGAATTGGGTGTGGATCACTCGGACTCAGAGACTTATTTCCCCCTCCAATTTTTCAGCTAACGGTGTCAAATACGTACTACTGTACGTAGCACGCGGAAAGACTCTTCTGCCCACCTCAATTTTAAACCAACCCATCTCTTTCTCTTCTTCTCACACATACGAGTAGGACACACATACGACTAGGACCTCAATTTCTTCACGGTGGCATGGCGCGGCGGAGTTTCAGCGATGGGCGCGTATGGATGGACACGTGCAGGATGGTGGCATTGTCTGACGCCATGATGGCGTTGACGATAGGCTTGTCAAGGTTGGTGCGTCAGTACCTGCTCTGCAGATGGATCAACGGTTGGAGATGGCGGTGGCCTATGAGTGCGCCAAACCGGTGTGTTACCCAGTTCTGGCATTGTGCCTTGGTTGGGGCATCCAACATTAGATGTTAGGATTTGGTGCGATGTCTGTTTGGTATTAGGCTTCGACATTTTCGGCATCCCTTCATCAAGGGGATATGAGTAGCGACATGTGTGTTGCTAAGAGGTGGCTTCAGGCATACTGACATATAATTTTGTAAAGTCTTTGTGAATAATTAATAAAATAACTGCATTCATCGTCCAGATGCAGAAGCCGGGGGTATATCCTTCTTTTTCGAAAAAAAACCGTGCTCCGCTCCAGTCCATCGGCCGCTCGGCGTCCCGACGCGAGGCCATGGAGTCGCAGCTGCACTGCAGGACAATTTGTGTGGCTATTGCACGGACGCGCATAGCAGAAGTACAACGCGGGCCAGCTGAGCGGCGCCCCAGGCACCAGTCACACGGGGAAGATGGATTCGAGCGAGGCTCTAGGGCTTGGTTCGGGCGCGCGGCAGAGCGGGATCCAGCTGGCCGGCAAACGAGTTGCAGCGGTGATGACGCCCACGACCTGGTAGGCTCCTACCGAGGGAGCTCGTGGCGAAGGCGGCTCCTCGACCAAGCTCGAGCGACGGCGTGTGCGACCGTGGCCCTCAGCTCGGCATGGTGGAGCCTGCAGCCCCGGCCTTTGACCCGGCTCCTCCTGACGGCATCGCGTCGCGAGGTGCCATGTCCGGGCCAGAGCTATCTCTTGACGATTTTGCAGAAAAGATCTCTACATGAGGGCATGGCCAATTCATAGCCTCAGGGTAATGTCTCACATGCCATGTAGGATCGGATGACAGAAAAAGTAGGTTTGGATAGGGAAGCATGATCCTCTGCAGGAGGCGGATGCTTGAAGAGAAAAAAATGGTTTGGTGAATAAAGTTGAAAAAGTTAAAGTACAGAGTAGGGATGCATGTGTAGTGAGAGTTACTTTCTATTCTTTGACGAGGCCCACAGTAACAGTTTGCATTGGGAAGGAAAAAAAATTAAAATGCCTCAAATTACTATTTATCATTAGGCATCTGTATCCATATGTCGCTATTATACATGCCTTGGCTGACCTGTTGGTTGCTGCCACCCGGAAAGCAGAAAGCAAACACGTACTACGTCTGCAGCATCGAGCGTGCACCGAGCCACCACTCACCCTTGGACGGTAGTTGCAGTTGTGACCTGCCACGGGACGCGTAGGCGATAAGAAAGCAGCTCGTTTGCCCGCTGCACGCGAGGCCAGCGCAATCCTTCGCCATGAGAGCGCCTACGCACTACGTATCCGTCCTAGCACTAAATCTGGATGACCAGATGCTGCTGCGTTGCGTGTGATAGGTGAATGGATGATGCACCGACACAACCTGGCTTAGTTACATGCGGCCGTGTACTAGCGTTAGCGTGCAAGGGAAATTTACACTCAGAGCATCGGCAAAGCAGAATACCGTGATACCCAGCGTTGTCCCGAAGCAACTCATGCGGCCGGAAACCCAACCGCTAGCGCACCCACTCGCTTCACATTTTGTGTGTGTGGTGTGTCAGTTTGTGCGCGCGATTTGCTGAGAACATAACATCGGACTATGGAAATTGGGTCGCATGGATTCAGGATAATCAAGACCTGATCGTCGATGGTGAGCATTGCCGCGTCCGTCTACTTGAACATCAAAAATGATAGGAATACTCGTAAATATATGAGCACATGAAATATACTCTCTCCATTTATAAATATATAAATCTTCTTAGAGATTTCAATGCGAACTGCATGTGTATGTATATAGACATATTTTAGGGTGTAGATTCACTCATTTTGCTTCTTATGTAGTCTATATTAAAATCTTTAAAAAAAGACTTATATTTAGAAATGGTGGGAGTATTAAATTTGCATAAACACAATCATGCATTAGTCGGTAATAACCGAGGAAATCTCATATGTGATTGTTATAAGCAAGGTTCACACATAAAAAAATCGCTTGGTTTGACAATGTACACAACAATGCGCGTGGTGAATACAACTAGTCGATACTACCAAGACGGATAGTAAACAGTAGATTGCATACATCCTGCATTAATGAAATCCTTACACGCCTCTACCAATGGGCCGCCATGTTTGAAAACAAAGAAAAAGTAGCCAAGCCTGATGCACCTAGCCATTTCTTCTGGAGTGCATCACATTCATGGGACAAGATACTATCTACCACCATACAAAAAATTGCGTGGTGATATAGCAATCGGACATTTTTGTTTTGTTTTGTTTTGTTAATTAGCAGCCTGGTTTTCATTATTTTTTCTCATTATTTTTTGTCTCTTTAATTTATAATAAATTCAAAATCATTTGGGAATACAAAGCAAAAATATATTCAGGAATTCATAAATATTTATAAATTTGCTTTTTTTCCTAAATTCAAAAATTATTCACAAATGCAAAAATATATTCAGGAATTCAAAAATTGTTCATGGATTTGAAAAATGTTCACAAACTCACAATATGTCCATGAATTCAAAAAATCTCCATAGATTTTCTAAACTTTTCACGCATTCAAAAATATTCTTCGAAACAAAAAAGTTCACGAATTAAAACAATGAGTGTTTGAAAAATGCCTGTGAATTCAGAAAATGTTCACAAATTCAAAAAAATGTCCGTGAATTCAAAAGTTGGTCACGAATTTTATTTTTTTTCATGAATTTAAGGAAATGCTCGTGAATTGAAAGAAATATTCACGAATTAAAAAAGTGTTCGTGAATTCAAAAAACTTTTGTGAATCAAAAAAATGTTCATGGATTCTAAACAGTGTTCATGAATTTGAAAAATGTTTGCAAATAAAAAAAGTTCACGAATTCAAAAAAAATTCACGAATAAAAAATGTTCACAAATTGGAAAATAATATTTCTGAATAAAAATGTTCACTGATCTGTAAATATGTTATTGAATTTGACAAATGTTTGATATACAAAAACGTTGATAATTATAAAAATTATTCTCTAATATAAAAAATGTTAAGGAATTTTAAAAAAATCATAAATTATAAAAACATCATTAATTAAAATTTAAAAGTAGAAGAATAAAAAATGGAGAAAGAAAAACAAAAAAATAATAGAAAAGGGACGAAAATGAAAAAACAAAGGAAATAAGAGAGTAAAAAACTTATTGAAAACTAGAAAACCCAGGGAACAAACAGTTTTCGTCCCTGGAATGTTACAAGAAATGTTGGCCCTTTTATCTCAATTTGGCCGCGCCTCCCAGTTTAGCAGGAACCTAACCGCGCCTCATTGGCTAGCAGCGCTATACACCACCCAACGGATCCGGGATCGATCCCTCGATGCCTCCCTTTTCACCTGTCTCTCTAGTTGAAGTGAACATTGGTTGGCCGTCCCATATGTGCGATCGTTTGCCCACTAGATGTTAATGAAGAACGTAGAACTCTTGAAGATCCGAGGTCCCCTATCTCCCAGCTCCAGAATGGCAGCCGGAGGCGAGGGGACCAAAATTTCTCCAGCTGCGGCGGTTGCTGCTGCAGTCCTTCATGTGGAAACCCTACACCAGAGACAAGGGACTTTTTATTTATATTTAGACAAACCAGAGACGGGGGATTTTTTTTTTTTTAGAAACCGAGTGACAGGGGACTGTGAGATCCGGAACTCAGTCAGCCAGGAAAAGAAGTAGTACATGCCGAAGATCCTAGTCGACAAGCCCACATCGCCGTACTCCGGCCCATATTTCACCCCTGAAGTTCACTGGCAAAGCGCGAAGTAGAGGCGTTCCCCCAGTTGCTGTCCAGATAAGGCTCTCTGCTCCGTACCATCTTCTTCCGTTCCTCTATCCTCTACGATTCAGTTCAGTTAGACCCCACCGAGCCAATGGTGGCTCCGGCGACGCTGTCCCTCCGCCCCTGCGCGACCCTCGCGCCGTCCAGGGCTGCGCTCCCCCGCGCCCGCGCCCACGCCCACGCCGGGTCCGCCCCCGCTAGTCGTCCAGCCCTCTCCGTCTCCTGCCCGCCGACGCGCTTCGAGAGCCTCCGCCGCGCCGCCACCGCCGTATCCGACCGGCAAGGCTCCGCGGAGCCTTCCGAGAAAGTAAGCATCGGCGCACGCTTCCCGTGTTTCGCATTTCGCGGCACCGGGCAAGTGGAGTTTTCTTCTCAGTTTTGAGACGACGTGGTGGTGTTTTCTGTGCGCTGCAGGAGGGGAAGTCGCGGACCTACTACTTCCTGGTGGCGAACGCCAAGTTCATGCTGGACGACGAAGAACACTTCCAGGAGCAGCTCCAGGAGAAGCTGCGGCTCTACGAGGAGCGCAGCAAGGAGCAGGACTTCTGGCTTGTGATCGAGCCCAAATTTCTAGACAGGTTCCCCAACGTCGCCAAGCGGCTCAAGCGCCCCGCCGTCGCGCTCGTCTCCACCGACCGCAACTGGATCAGGTAAGTCAGCTGTCTCTTCAGGCATCGTTGCAAGCTCGAGCAATGCTAATTAGCAGAGTCCCCCATGGATATTAAAACGCCAATGCATGCAGTCCTTGCAGTACTCGCTTCTGTAATTATCTGGCTATAAGCCCCTTCAATTGAAATTCAGCTGGGGAAATTCTCCCTCTCGCTGAACATTACAACAACAACAACAACTAAGCCTTTAGTTCAAACAAATTGGGATAGGCTAGGGCTGAAACCCGTAAGATCTCGAAACCACCTCATGGTTCTGGCATGTGGATAGCTAACTTCCACGCGCCCCTGAACATTACAATAAATAAATCGCGGTAATACTTGCGAGTTGTGACTAGTAAGTGCTTACTTCATTTATAGTGCCTGCCCAATGCTATGCCATTGGCAACATGTCATGCAGTGCAAGCTGGTATGCTTCCTGTTGCAAATGGCAAAACCGTGCATCGGTGCAGTCTTGTATCTTCAATTTGCACCGGATGCCTACTTGATGGCTACCCATAATAATGTGCTTGCTATCAGCAAAGGCGGCCTGTCGGCTGGGTGCGCGGTGGTCAAAGATAGCCCCAGCCTCACCCCCGCGTCGATCCCACACCGGGCGACTCGGGCGGGCCGCTACCCTAGCCGCCGCCGAGCCCTGATCTACTCCCTCCTCTCCTCCCGTCGCCGCCGCGTGACGCCGCCGGGCTAAGCCCGGGGCAGATGGCGGTGGCCTGGGTCTCTCCTTCTCTCCCGCGGCCTGGGGTGGGGCGGGGCCCCTGGCGTGTGGAGGCGCGGCTTGTCGGGTCCTGCGGCGGGACCCCTGGCATGTGGAGGCGCGGCTTGTCGGGTCCTGCAGCGGGACCCCGGCGTGTGGAGGCGCGGCTTGTCGGGTCCTGCGGCGGGGCGGCCGGCCTTGCCTCGCGGCGGTGGTGGGTGGCTCTGCGGCTGGCCGGATTTCGGGTTGGCGGCGGCGGCATGGAGGGCATGGTGGATGGATCGACTGTGCGTGTGGTCTGGCCTCCGGTCAGATCTGATCTGGCCGGTGTGGCCTGCTCCATGCGTGGCGGCGGTGATCGGTGGCGGTCCCGTGCACACGAGGCTAGATGGAGGTTCCCCGAGCGGATCCGGGTGAAAACCCTACTCTTGGCTCATTGCCAAGGCCGGCGATGGCGGCGTTTTCTGCGTCGTCCCCTTCTTGAAGGTATCGTCGTGGAGAAGCTCTAGACCCCTATCCGCCACCTCCGTGGGAAACCTTAGATAGGTCGATTGGATGACGGCGGCGCTCTTGTGCCGTATCCCTCTTGGGGCATCATTCTTGGAGGTATGCATAGGCTAGAGGGACCAGTGGACGGCATTTGCGGTGGAGCGGTGTTCCATGTTACGCATCGGCGACGCGGAGTCTTGGCGGCATGGCGTGGCAGGGCCTTGGCGACGAATGTGTGATGGTGGACGCACGTAGGGAGGAGGTGTTGTCTGGCGCCGTGGTGGCGTCGACAACAGACCTGGCAAGGTCGATGCGTCCGTATCTGCTCTGAAGATGGATCGATGGAAGACGGCGGTGACGACCTATGAGAGTGCCTTGGAGCGGTTTGTGCCCCAGACCTGGTATGTGGCTTGGTTGGGGCCTCCGGCTTTAGATGTTAGGCTTGGGTGAGAGGTTTGGGTATTCGGCTCACACTTTCTGCACCCCTTCATCAATGGATAGGAGTAGCGACAGATATTGCCAAGATCCCAGCTGCAGAGGCCGGGGGTCATCCTCCTTTTCAAAATAAAATAAAATCAGCAAAGGCATGCACTTCAAAATTGTATGTAGGTTGTTGACGAAAGAGGTGTGACAAAAGAAAAACACTAGTTTGGTTCACATTCATGCAGTGCCCTTCCAGGAAAGTTTAGATATAAGAATTGACATGTGTAGATATGCCACGAGTTAAGTTTGATCACATGGTGATGATTTGAGGGCCAATCTTACATGGAAGCTCTAGTCCAGGACATGTATTTCAATAAGTCACATTTACAAATTTTCATCAGGATCTTGTTTCAATGCAAAAGTGCAATTCTTATAAAATGAAGCCTATGGCTGTACTTTTTGAAGTTGTGCCATATCCTGTTCTGATTTTGTTTTTCGGTGTCATGAATCATGAATGTGTTTTTTAGTACAGTACTTTGTATATTTTCTTGTTTTTAGTCACCCCCGTTCAATAATTGGGCACAATCTGGATACGAGTTGCTTGCATTCCTGAACATATTGATTAGACCGCGAAGCGAGGAAAAAGAAACTGAATAAAATTAGAGAAACTTATCTGACCATTGAATTCTTAAGCATGATGCCACTGCCAGATGCTGACTGTGTGGATCCCATTGTTTTGTTGATGTGTGATGTCGTGCTGGCATGGTGTGTGCTTTGTCAAACCGTTTTTTTTTTTTGCTTCTATACATATAAAGTTGTAGCTAATATGTTTTGTCTCCGTCTCTCATTTTAAAAAGCACTCATTTTAAAAAGCATACGTGCAGTAATAAATCCTCAATAATCTCATGTTATCTCCTTTTTTGCTCTCAGATTCATGAAACTAAGGCTGGACCGGGTCTTAGCGGAGCAATTCGATGCAGAGACACTTGAAGAAGCATTGGCTTCTAACCCCGCAGAGTTGAAATTCGATAAGCCTGAGAAATGGACAGCTCCATACCCCAAATACGAGTCTGGATGGTGGGAGGCCTTCTTACCTCCAAAGTCCAGCAACGGCACGGCTTAGAGATGAACTCCAGGCCGCGTGGTGTAAGATTTCTTCCATGTAAGTGATGATTGTAAGTTTTGGTTTATGCTATTGTGTATGTAGTCCGTGAGTTTATGAGAGTAGAGTTAGCTACATTAGTTGCAGAGATTGCTCTACTTTTCGATAATACCAAATAAGTGATGATGTTTTAAAGTCATGGTTATGTTATGGTTGTTAGTATTATATTTCTTCAAGGATATTCATTCCTGATTCATGTATGTTTTCATTCAAGGAGCCGCCAGTCTATGAGGCCCTAAATTATATCTGACCCGACATGTGAATCAATAATACACACATCACCTGCGGAAAAAGAAAAATGTACACATGTTTTTACTTTCCAGTCTAGCAGCAACAACAATGATGAAAACAAAGCGGCAATGCCAATCATAGCACGCAACGCAAGACCTTAAATATATTGTGTAGTCACAACGGCCTGTTGTCCCATTAGTGCGATACCACTACTATAGCCATATAGGTTGTATATAACAGACTGAAAATGTTGTCAACATTTAGCAATTTAGAAATAGCCATGGAATGTTGAGCTAAGGCCCTGTTTGGTTTATAAGTCCTATGACTTTTTTTAGTCCCAACTAAAAAGTCGCTAGTCCCTAAAAAGTCCTTACATGTTTGGTTCCTGGGACTAAACATGAACTAAAAGACCCCAAAAAACTCTCCCTCAGGGTCTTCTTTCATAAATCTCAAATGCCCACTTTAAGTCCCTCCTGTTTAGTTTAGATGGGACTAAAAGGGACTTTTTTAAGTCCCTGTAAACAAACACCCCCTAACTTGTGATTTGTTTGACATTGATAATTGGGCCTTTCTTTGTTGATCCAGACACCCCATAATTAGTTGATTTTCTAAACTTGTGAAAAAAAATTCAAGTGCTCAAATGAATTCTCGCCAAAAGCTACAATCACAGGAAATTAACAAATATGCCAATATATTAGGGAAGTCAAATACATTCTACAATCTTGACAAGAGATTAAGAGATTATCGGACTATAAGACACAGACATCAGACGCACAGTACCTACACGGTAAGACGAACGAAGGATAAAACTTTAGTAGAACAGATTAGGACACGCGAGAATTGCAAGCCAGGAGCTGCATTCTGAGCTTCTAACAAACACACCAACTCCCTAGCACTGAAAAACCAACGCAATTACACAACCCTAAAGACTGACTTTCACTTTTAAGGTCTGAAGCGATCTACGGATCTTGTGGTTGTTCGTCGTTCCGATCCTCCCATGCTTAGAACCTGCACAACCGAAGGAACACATTGCTTGATGGCTTGCGACAAACTTAACTCAAAGCAAGACGCGTAATGAAGTGCTGTAGGTCTATAACTCTATTGAAGTGCAGACCATGTGGATACAAGTTGCTTTCAACAACTGGTAGGTCCTCTCAGAAAGGAAAATTCATCTGGTTGGTATAACAACCCCTGTGTGCTTAGCACTAGTACCATACTATTCTTCTTTTTGACGAGAAACAGTACTGTCTACTGAATATATCTACATTTTTGTTTGTTTGTTTTTGTGCTAGTTTGCACTACCATACTAATCGCGGAGAAAAATTCCTCATGTGAATCCTATATAGTACTCCCTCCGTTCTTAAATATAAGTCTTTGTAAAGATTCTAACCAGTGACTACATATGAAGCAAAATTAGTGAATATACACTCTAAAATATGTCTACATACATTCTTATGTTGTTGTCCATTTGAAATGTTTAAAAAGACTTATATTTAGAAACGGAGGGAGTATCTTGCATGCTGTCTCACTGGGATTAATAATTAATAAATAAGTCCTAGTGTTTTTCAGAAGGAACATGTATCAAATTTCTTGCCAAAGGAGAACCATAGAGAAAAACATTCATGAACATATTTGCTTCACTGGCCAAATAAATTTATAGTATTCATCAAATGAGCAAATGTAGTACCGTACGTCAACGCGCAATGGCAGTAACAGGTTAGGCAGGAGCAGGAAAGCCGCACGAAACTGAGGAGAGAATATTTTTAGGGGAGGCTGGTCAAGGTCTTTGATAGTACAGTTTCCGAATTAACAAGAACTTGTAAAATAAATGAAGGAACTAATTACTGCTTGCTGTGATGTGACCATGGTTGTCAAGCAAAATCCTGAAGACCTACCGCCAGATCGAGTCAACGGTGGAAAGCTCGATCATGAAAAAAAACACACCCTAAACTAAAATGTCTAGGAATGATACATACTCATATGAGAAACAGGAGAGGGACGAGAGGAAGAGGCCGGGCGCGCCGCCTTCAAGCTCCCCCACACGGTGATCCCCTGCATCATGCACTTGAACTCGCCGAAGTCGACCTGGCCGTCGCGGTCGCGGTCGACGTTGCAGATCATCTCCTGCACCGCCGCCAGGTTCCGCGCCTCCGCCAGGCCCAGCTTCTTGAGCACGGCCTGCAGCTCGGACGCCGAGATGAACCCGTCGCCGTTCTCGTCGAAGACCCGGAACGCCTCCTTCATGTCCTCGTCCTCGCCCTCGCCTTCCTTGCCGGGCTCCTCCTCGGTGATGGGGCCAAAGAGCGCGTCGCCGAGAGCGCGGTGGAGGCCCTCGAAGTCCTCGAAGCCGAGCCCGGCGGCGCCAGCAGGGATGTAGGCGCCGACGGTGGCCTCCAGGCTGGCGCGGTCGGCGCCGAGGCCGAGGGTGTCGAGCGCGGCCGCCATCTCGTCGAGGGTGATCTCGCCGTCGCCGTTGCGGTCGAAGAGGTCGAAAACGCGGCGCAGGCGCAGGGCATTGAGGCTGCCGTTGCGGAGGCGGAACGACGGCGAGGGCTTCTTGGACAAGGACGGCTTAAGGGGAGCGGGAGCGGTGTCCATTGCTTTGAGTTCGCCGGTGACGCTGTGTCTTTCTCTCTGTTCTTTCTGCTTTATATATAGGCTTTGAGAATGATTTCCGGAGCGCTTAAAACGTTGGGGAGCCATGGTTTTATAGAGGAGCCTTAAAAAACGGAAATGTTAACGCCCATACATTTGGGCGTCCACCACCCCGACCACACGCAAGCATCTTTGTTGGCAACTGTGCGCACGAATCTTGAAACAAACAGGCCGGTTTTCGGCGCTACGTAGGACGAGTCTCGTGTGCGGTGTGCGAGTCAGATCGCCCGCACGTTGGTTGCCATCCCGTGGTCAGCGGTTGCCACTTAGAGGCGTGCGGTGGAACTGCCATGCGCCCGCACGCCACGCTTCGACCGCGGTTGACGCCAAACACGTCGCACACCCATCCACCCTCTCCCTCACGGTTCCATTTACTCACCCGCGGCGCAATTACTGGCACAACCCACTCGCACTTCAAATCATTGGAGGAGAAGGCGAAGGCGGAGGCGGAGCAATCGACGGTGTTCGCGGCCGTCGATGGTGCTCGCCGGAACGGAGCGGCTTCGCCGGAACGCGTGCGGGTTGAAGGTAATGCTCGCTACATCTCTCGGAATCCCTTCCTGCATTTCCCCCCTTCCATCCCTGTTCGATTCCTAGATCGATTCGTAGAGATTCTGGCGATTCGGCGGTGCGTCGGCGTTCCCGCCGGCGCCGAAGTTGTCTGCTAGCCGTTTTTGTTGGCACTGGATAGTTTCGTCGCCGCCGCGGCGGCGGCATCGTCGGTGTGGTTATGCCTGTTCGGAGGCACGCACTAGTCTTGCGTATGGATTTGGGAGGTGTCCCTCGGTTTGTTTGATGCCCATTGGTTCGAATTTGTGTTTGCAGTCAGTTCGTGCGAGAATTTTGAGGGTGAATTTGAAGTCAAAATAGTTGTCATTGAAACCTAGATCTAGTTAGTTTGGTTTTGAAACTGTAGTATGAGGCGAACTTGGTAGATTGGTTAACTATCATGATTAAAGCCTATAAAGAGACGGAAATAACCCCTCGAAGTACTACTATTATATTAAACGAGAAAATGACACATCTCTGTAATAGAGTACTACTAGTACTCGATAATGATGATGTTGTGGACTACATCTCGTAAATGAGAGATTTTTCATCATCAATATAAAATAGAAACCTGCATAAAGCTAGACTACAGGTCCGTAATTTCTACTCCCTTCGTAAACTAATATAAAAGCGTTTAGATCACTATTTTAGTAATATAAGTGCTCTTATATTAGTTTACAGAGGGAGTACTCCTCTTAAAAGATTATTGAGAGTGCCTATCTTCGAAGATTATTCGAACCCTACTGTAACATTGTTTGACCAGCTCCCGATCTCCCATGTGTCGACGACTGTCCAATAACCCGTCCTCCTCGAAACAGGAAAGTACCCGCTCCCTGGCTTCACCGGACGAAAAGAATAATTAGGAACCGGATTATGCACCGATGAGGTGAACCTGTGCCCTCAGAAAAAAACTCGTTATTAGCGCAAAAAAAGGAAGAGCCACCGGCCGTCTGACAACAAGAAGTACTAGCATTTTGCACAACCTACGTACGCTGTTTGATTCAACAACGCGGCCACTTCTCCCCTCCAGCAGCCACGGCATTTCGTTCTCTGGTCAACGCTCGGCGGCATGGCTTCTCGTGGAAAGCACGACTACGTACAATGTTGGGCAGGGACGAATCTGAAAGTTTTTTTTTTCGAAACGGAGAATCTGAAAGTTTGATCAGTACGCAAAGGCGGTTCTGGATCGTCAAGCGAACGCCAAGTCGTTGCCTAATTTCAGCGGCCAACACCGGCAGAATTCCAACTGGGATCAACAGGAACTTTCACACAAACAGCAGCAATAATGGCCCAGAAGAAAAGCTCATATAGGAACATCCGATAGACCAAAGTATTAAGGGCATCTTCAACACCTATCTGCAAATTTTCTCCTGCATCCATCCGTAAAAAGACAGAACAAATAGTTCAATTAAAAATGGTACTCGTCCAACTCCATAACCTAAACTAAAAGATCGCCGACGCCTCTTCCCTATCTTCGGCCATGAGCCCCGAAAAATGAAGTTTCGTCTTCTCCAGCTCCGCCTTCG